AACTGATTTTAACCAGTTCTATAGTAAGGTAACATTCCAATAGACAATATGCAAAGCTTTTTTTTCAGTTTACAGCAGTATTTATTACACAAAATTTAAGTAAAGCTTAACATGCCGATCTTGCCCCGATCTCCCCTATATTTCCATGTGTCATGTGAAAGCTCACGTTGTATTGCATAAAATGAATTCAGCAAGATTATGAATATGATTTATTTATTGTTGGGCTGCAATTTGAAAAAAATTGTAGACCCATAAATCTTCACTGCCATCCGTCTGTCTTTCCTTAATCTCGAGAACGAAATTAGATAGATGAAATCCGACAAAAACATAAAATATGGCCATTGTTAGGAGGTTATTTTATATACAGTTTTGTTCGTAACAAAGTTTTTGAATGGTCGTTTTTTACAGGTGACCGTTGTTGGAAGGTGGCCGTTATTTGAGGTTCGACCGTAAAAGAAATATGTTAAAAAATTATATAAAACTTATATTTATTACGTAAATTTACTTAAAAAATTTATTTATATTGTATTTTATAGGACAAAATTACATGTATTTTATATTAGGTATTTAAAATATTTAAAAAAATAATTATAGAAGATTTAAATTATAAAAGACATTAATATCACTGCCGGATTTTCCATTAATAAACATAGAGGCCTATATTACGTGTATTATATAAATTGGTGTACTATATTTTGCTGTCTTTAAATAGTTTATAAAAATACCTCTATGAAAAAACACATATGCTTACGTAATACAGTCTCACGTGTAAAAAAAAAATAAAATATCTGACTAGAAATATATCATTTGTTATAAATACAATTTATGAATAATTTTTCAAGAATATAATTAATGAATGGATGTTTAGAGCTCTCTATAGAAAGAACTATTAGGCAAATCTCAACTAAATTTGATACATATACTGTATAAAGTTTTGCAGTTTGGATTTTCGAGAAAATTTACTTCAAAATTCAGTCACCAGGGTGAAATTTGACGCTAATGTCCAGTAACATGAACATTACGTACATTTTCTAACGAAACAAAGTGCAATAATTTTATTTCAATTACAGATGTGCCGAGTTGGCATTGTTATTGCATTAAGAGGATATCAGCGCCTAATTTCACCACAACGGTTGAATTTTGAAGTAAAATTTTTTTTCGAAAAACACTCTAAATAACAAATGAATTAATTTAAATTTGGCCTAGATTTTTTCCCTTCTCTAAGGAGTCTTGAACACCTACACTTTAATTATGATCACTCTTTTAAAAGGTTATAGATTTTAATGTTAGATTAAAATGCAAAGCATTAATCTCCCATAAATCAAGCAAAATAAATGAAGAAAGTGTGAATTGTTATCTTCTAATCGAAATATTTTTATAGCAGACTTAATTATTTACAAAACAATTATCAAATGTAATATAAAGTAATTAGTTATAAATGATTTTGATAATATCAAAAGAATTGAAATAATTGTAATACTATAAAAAGAATCAATTATTATAAATCATTTCAATTAAAAGAAGTTATTTCTACCAAAATATCTTAAGATTTATGTTGTTTAAGTATTTTAAAAGTCTTTTAATCAGTGGTCTTTATTCAGAAGTGTCAATTAAAATGAGAATTATTACATTGTCTAAGGGAATTTGCGATTTTCATTTGATAAATTTTAAGTACTAGAAGTGTAGATGACATAAGAGGTATATTTTATAGGAATAAAATTTTGTTGAAGGAAAAAATAAGGGTGTGGTCCCGAAAATAAATTTGATTTACGAGGCTTCAGTACTATAATTATACAATGGTAAACAGTTTTATCTGCAACGTGCTACCGAAATACGAAAAACAAGGTTCAAAATATCTGTCTTAAAATTTTCCGATAAGCAATGAGGAAAATTCAAGTTCAATATTATATAATAAATTAGAAAAAAAACAAAGAATTTCTAAAACTAAAAAGAAAGGCATAGATTTAAATCAAAGTGAAAAATCACATTGGCCTGTACAGAACAAAGAAAGAAATTTCATTTTATTCTTTATTTATTTATTTTTTGGTCTATATTTCAGCCATAAAATACTAAGATAGATTATTTTCTTTAAAAAATGTTTTTTCTAAAAAACATTCTTCAAATTTGAGATCTTATGACAAAATATAGAAAGAAACGCCTTAAAATATAATAAAGAATAAACTAAAGCGTGTGAAAATTTTGCTTACATTTAGAGATTTTTGCTTGATGCTATTATTAATGAAATAAAAAAAGAGGTTTTAATGTCTTGAAGCAAATGCATTTTATATCTTTTGGTAAAGTGTTAATGTAATTAATTAATATATTATTTTGTTATTTATAATTATTCGATATCACTTTATATTAATACAAAATCTTTGCAGATCGCTCGCGTGTTGCATTAGCACATCTCGTCAATCCAATACAATAACAACTGAAATATTAAATAATTCAAGGGGAGAGTACCTCCCGGTAGAACTTTTATGGGAAACTAACCGCTACTGACAGGCTAGAAAAGTAAAGAAAACAAGGAAATTCCACATGATCAGCTCATTAATGAGGCGTGAAACCACGACCAATGTGCAAGGTGCAATTCATTCCATCACTATAGACTTTTGTAAATAGTAATAAATAAATAAAATAATTAATTTATCAATAATTTACGGGAAAAACAAAGACAACGGTTAATCGAGACGTTAGCCCGAAATTAACTGCTCATCACTCATACAAAACGGATTATATTCATCTGTTTATCTGTCTATACGTAAACTTCAAATAATTAATTAAAATTAATTTTATCACATTTCTCTTTATGATATATTTATTAAAGATGTGAGTATTCAGTAATGTACTTAGAGTTTATGAGCGGAATAGAGTCATTTCCTCTCAACTTTGATGAGGACAATTACTGAATTTTGAGCTGAAATGCATAGGCCTACATTTCTTACAGCCTAAATAATCAATTGTAATTAACTACAGATCTTTAGTGTAAGTTTTATCTATGAGCTTCTGGGATAAGTAATCATAATCCTCGCCTCCCCAATCTTTACGTCGTGCCTCAAAGGAATGAGCTCTATCACTCCCCATGTTGGGGTTATGTTCAAATAAAATCTAATTTTGTATTAAAATGAATATAAACAACGAAAAAATAAATAAATTTATGAACATTTTTAAAAAAAACTTAAATTTCATCCAATTTAATGTTAAGCTGAATTGCAATAAGTAGGTTAAACAATGTAAGTTTGCAGTGCCATCTCTAGTTGATATTCGAAAATATTTTTCTCATTCCTCAATAAAGAGATCTTATAAGTGTTATAAGCTATTTTGACTATGGGAATTCCTTTATTCCTCGGCAATACATATGTATTACATTAGTATTTATATGATTAGTATTTAAACTACTATCTCATCATCCCGTAACGCTGTGGCATATGGTATGTGTTACAGGAGATTTATCAAATATGGAACCTTTCTATAAAGAAAATAAACAAAATGTTTATAAGGTTCTGAAAAAATGTTCAATAGAAAATATCAGTTAGTTAGTTTTGACATATGTTATTTGATTTAGTAAATTTATACAGGTTAGAAAAATTGTATGTCATTTACTTATTCAAATCTACAAAAGAAAAGTAAGAATATTTGCCATTCATAATTAGGAATATCGTATTATTGTAATTGTATTATTACAGAGATAAGAACTGGGAAACGATACTTTCTTATAAATGTCCCATGAAATTATAAAAGTCACATGATAAAACTTAATTAAGAAAAACAAAGCTGGCAATAGCTTTTGTATGACTTTTCCAGCACACTAAAAGGCTTTAAGCCTTACTTTTGGTAGGGGTGTTTAAAACTTGTAAAGTCAATAATATTTGTTTTAATTACCTAAAAACTCATATGAGTTCATTTTCAACGTCTCACCACACTCTAGATACGAGCTTCTATTGCCTGTACCTCCCTCTTGACTTGCAATCTTCAGTGTGTAAAAGCACCAATGTCTCATAAATAGAAGTATTCCAGCCAAATTTTAAAATTATAAGTCAAAGGGGTTATGAAATATAACGCAAAATACAGATCAAAACACGAAACACGCACATCATATACAGAATTTTGTTATCTTCTTTTCAATGTCTCTAAAGGTAAAACATCTTCCGAACGTATTGTTGAAAATAGAACTTCACGCATTACTGCTGTAAAAACATGAAAGTCCTAACAGAAGAAATGTATGACTACATGAATAAATTTTCCGACATTAACATCTCAGCAAAAATAAAAAGCCGATAATTAACTACGTGCAAATAGAAAAGATATCAGCAGTTAAACCTCTTCATATAGAAACAAGTGTATGCAGCATTGCTGTATCTACAACCACTTCGTACCAACTTTTGTCAGTCTGCACGTCGTTTTCACCGGCATTTCTGATGTAAATGAGCCTTGCGTTCATTCAAATTTATTGACAAATTTAAATTTGGGAGAATATCGAGACATCAAAATAAAATTGAGACACGTATCATTTTACTGTGAAATATTATATATTACAATTAACAAAAAAAAACTATGATATAATTTTACATTTTAGTTACAACCCTCTGTGGATGTGAATGAAATTATACAGGCAGAACATCTGCACAAGAAAAAGTCTGAAATGAGCGAAACAAATTCGTCGAAAAGTGATTGTTTATCAAAATTTACTTCTGAATCTGTTCTTTTTAACAGTAGTTCCAACAAATGGCATTCCACGTATTCCTTCTCAAACGACAACTCAATTTATTTACAACTAGACGAGAAAAGTGAAAACAAATACATTGATAAATGTAATCTATATACTGTTTAATTAGAAGATGCTGTCAAAATTAGCGAATTACCAGTCAAGTTCCAAAATTTTTATTCTCTTAAATGTAAGTTTTAATGAGATCCACATCAAAATTTCTTAGACATCGCTTTTTATGGAAAAAATTTTGTTTCTTGATCGATGCAAATTGTGATTACAACAGCCCCTTCGGCCGCCAATTTAAAGCTTTTAGTCTTTAAAATTGGCGTTTCCACTTTCCGGGACGAGGACCCAGGGGTTGGATTTGTGGGAAGCGAGTGTTCGGGTTGTTTCATTGTGTCGAATTACAGAGAACCAGGCGCTTGACGTGTAAGTGCGTGAGTGCGAGAATTCGAGTAAAGATTAAACGGTGTATATACCTTCATGTACAATGATGTTATGTCCGTGTGTGTGTGTATATATTTGTGTGATGTCCAAGAACATCTTCGGCATGTCTAGAAACAGAAAAACAGTAAATTACGATACGAGAATAAGATGTGTGAAAAAATTAAACTAGAGTTCTTACTATCGGAAATTTCGGAAAATATTCACTTGTATGATGAATGGCCAAGTCATCCTCTTCGTGGTAAACTTGGGGAGGGAGATTCTCCCTCCCAAATGTTCCTACAAAACACAAAGACAGTGAGAAAGCGAGAAGTTCATTCATTTATTATCTAAGGTCAACATAACTACCTTTATCAGACAATCTTTTTTCCCGAACAGTGTCATGAGAAGAGCAAAGGACTTAACCTAGCCTAACCTAACCTAACCGAAAGCTCAATCCTCATAATGCCTGTTTAGGAAGAAAGGTCGGCCGAATGTCGCGTCCGGTGAAAAAAAACCCGATTGTGTCACGTCTGCGTCGTCACAATCGGGAGTCAAATCCGTCGTCGTCGACCGAGTGTCACGTTCGGCAGACAAGTCCGTGGGGTCGCATCCTGGTAAGAGACGGTCATGTCCGGGAAAAGGTGTCGAGTCCGGGTGAAAAGTGTCGAATCCGGTAAGAATGTCCCATCCGAGTGAAGAAGGACGAATTGGGAAAAATCGAAGAGGATCACCGCTTAGGCCAAAGGAACCGCAGCCACCCTCAGCAACAGAACCGCAGACACCACGGTCCCTCGACTCCGACGGCACTCTCCTCCGATTCCTCCCCGTTCGGACTTCCGGAAAGCGATGGCATCCCCGTCACGGACAAAGAGGCAGAACTCCCGACAAGAGGGAGCGATATCGTACTCCAAGAAGAAGACTCGGACGAGACATCACTCCCTACATCTTCCACAACAAGGCCTGTGGCCGACTGACCCCTGACGACCTTGGCCAAGTGGAATGGACTCAGAACTCTCCCGCCTCCGGGAGAGTGCCACACCACACGCACTCGGGGAAGGTCGTTACCACCCGCTGCCTCTCGCTCGACGGTCTCAAACGACGCCATACTAATCGATTCGGCAGAGACGCAGTCGAGCCCCGGGTCCTCGAACGTCTCGTCAGAGCCGTCCGAGGAACTCCCTTCCTCCGGCGCCACCGCGTTCCTCCGTCGGAATCTCCTCCGGAGCCACTCCATCTCCATTCTGTAAAAAAGAAAATTTGCAATTAGTTGAGTGAAAAGAAAAGCTTACATTTAACCTTATATTCTTCGGAGAAAAGAAAAATTCTCACCGCAGTTCCCTTTTTAATTAAATTTAAAAGATTCTAATCGAAAACGAAAACGGCCGATCATCGAACGATGGGCCGAGATGTCTTCTGGGACCGATTCTCTAAGTAATATTATATAAATTCTTACGTCTAGGGTCAATATGGACTAAGATTTACCTAAAGAATCTTTAATCTTCTTTCGAAAAGTCCGCAAACAGCAAAAAAAAAAAAGCACACAATTCACGAGCGAAAGAAAAGCACGTCCAACCGGAACTAGAAACACAATCGAACTGCGAATCGNAATAATATTTTTATAAGATTTCAGGAAGAAAAACTAAATTCTTCTATTTATCGATAGAAAATATTAAAAAATTCATTAAGAATTAGAAAATTTACATCAGAATTTTTTTTTTAATTTTATTTTAAAAAGCCTATCTGAAAAATTGTTAAATGCCAAAAATGCAAGAGCTAAAGGCATAAATAATTAACTTTAAACTTATATTAGTGCTAAAAGATAATTACAGTACGGTTAGCTGTCGTCTTTACTACTTTAACTTCCAAATGTATTGATTCTAGTAAATTCAAGTTTGATTATTACAGAAATATTTAGAATTTGTAAGCAATCTTGAATGTATTTTTATAATATTAGTCAGTTTTTTACTCTTTCCTCCTTCGAGCACTGAGTGTATCTTTTTAATCACATCAATTATGGGTTCGGCTAGGCCCACAATAGGAGGCAGGGTGGTGAGAAACGTGGCACAACTTATCCCAGTAAACCACCAACAAAAAATTTATGAGGTTCCTGACTCGGATTATCTCATAACAACAGGCTGAGGACTTTACCATGTCACCCATCTATCTCTCTTTCAACGTAGGGGAGATCGGGGCAACTTCGGCATGCGGGGCAAGTTTGTCAAGCGCTTTTTTTAAAAAACAAATTAAAAGGAGACTTTGGTTATAGGTTAGGCAGTTGAGTTTTATTGGTGGCTTGTTGAGTGTAGTGTTTTTATTGTTCTCCAACAAGCGTAGTTGAATTATCAAGCAAATTTTCATTTTCGTTCAATTCCATATAATATTTTTTTTCCATTTATATTGAATTGGCAGGTTTTGTTATAATTCCATGATAACGAAAGTTACTTTTCCTGTTAGAAGGATGTAACTTCAACTTATTCACGTGGCCAGATCGTGGCTTGGCATTCTGTTCTCAGGGTTGTACTTAATGTTTCGAAATCATGACTAGCGGGGTAAGATCGGCAACATAAAGCCACATTAGAAGCAAAGGATAAAAATCAAACAGATGATAAATGAAAACATGTTTGCATTTGTTATTCATGTATATATGTCTTTGAACTTGCATTTCGTTGTAATAATATTAAATGGGTGTTGGATTTGTATTTCTTTGTTTTAATAGTGAATTCCAACTTATACATTGTTAATAACATAATTTTATATACGTGCCTATCTTGCCCCATTACTGTTGCCCCTATACCAGGGGCAACTTTAATAAAAATAATTAAAATAATTACAACTTTACAAAAAGAGAGAAGTTGCCGATCTTGCCCCTATACCCGGGGCAACTTCGTCAATTTCTCTCTTCTTGTAAAGTTGTAATTATTTTAATTATTTTTATTTCCAAACTGATTTTAACCAGTTCTATAGTAAGGTAACATTCCAATAGACAATATGCAAAGCTTTTTTTTCAGTTTACAGCAGTATTTATTACACAAAATTTAAGTAAAGCTTAACATGCCGATCTTGCCCCGATCTCCCCTATATTTCCATGTGTCATGTGAAAGCTCACGTTGTATTGCATAAAATGAATTCAGCAAGATTATGAATATGATTTATTTATTGTTGGGCTGCAATTTGAAAAAAATTGTAGACCCATAAATCTTCACTGCCATCCGTCTGTCTTTCCTTAATCTCGAGAACGAAATTAGATAGATGAAATCCGACAAAAACATAAAATATGGCCATTGTTAGGAGGTTATTTTATATACAGTTTTGTTCGTAACAAAGTTTTTGAATGGTCGTTTTTTACAGGTGACCGTTGTTGGAAGGTGGCCGTTATTTGAGGTTCGACCGTAAAAGAAATATGTTAAAAAATTATATAAAACTTATATTTATTACGTAAATTTACTTAAAAAATTTATTTATATTGTATTTTATAGGACAAAATTACATGTATTTTATATTAGGTATTTAAAATATTTAAAAAAATAATTATAGAAGATTTAAATTATAAAAGACATTAATATCACTGCCGGATTTTCCATTAATAAACATAGAGGCCTATATTACGTGTATTATATAAATTGGTGTACTATATTTTGCTGTCTTTAAATAGTTTATAAAAATACCTCTATGAAAAAACACATATGCTTACGTAATACAGTCTCACGTGTAAAAAAAAAATAAAATATCTGACTAGAAATATATCATTTGTTATAAATACAATTTATGAATAATTTTTCAAGAATATAATTAATGAATGGATGTTTAGAGCTCTCTATAGAAAGAACTATTAGGCAAATCTCAACTAAATTTGATACATATACTGTATAAAGTTTTGCAGTTTGGATTTTCGAGAAAATTTACTTCAAAATTCAGTCACCAGGGTGAAATTTGACGCTAATGTCCAGTAACATGAACATTACGTACATTTTCTAACGAAACAAAGTGCAATAATTTTATTTCAATTACAGATGTGCCGAGTTGGCATTGTTATTGCATTAAGAGGATATCAGCGCCTAATTTCACCACAACGGTTGAATTTTGAAGTAAAATTTTTTTTCGAAAAACACTCTAAATAACAAATGAATTAATTTAAATTTGGCCTAGATTTTTTCCCTTCTCTAAGGAGTCTTGAACACCTACACTTTAATTATGATCACTCTTTTAAAAGGTTATAGATTTTAATGTTAGATTAAAATGCAAAGCATTAATCTCCCATAAATCAAGCAAAATAAATGAAGAAAGTGTGAATTGTTATCTTCTAATCGAAATATTTTTATAGCAGACTTAATTATTTACAAAACAATTATCAAATGTAATATAAAGTAATTAGTTATAAATGATTTTGATAATATCAAAAGAATTGAAATAATTGTAATACTATAAAAAGAATCAATTATTATAAATCATTTCAATTAAAAGAAGTTATTTCTACCAAAATATCTTAAGATTTATGTTGTTTAAGTATTTTAAAAGTCTTTTAATCAGTGGTCTTTATTCAGAAGTGTCAATTAAAATGAGAATTATTACATTGTCTAAGGGAATTTGCGATTTTCATTTGATAAATTTTAAGTACTAGAAGTGTAGATGACATAAGAGGTATATTTTATAGGAATAAAATTTTGTTGAAGGAAAAAATAAGGGTGTGGTCCCGAAAATAAATTTGATTTACGAGGCTTCAGTACTATAATTATACAATGGTAAACAGTTTTATCTGCAACGTGCTACCGAAATACGAAAAACAAGGTTCAAAATATCTGTCTTAAAATTTTCCGATAAGCAATGAGGAAAATTCAAGTTCAATATTATATAATAAATTAGAAAAAAAACAAAGAATTTCTAAAACTAAAAAGAAAGGCATAGATTTAAATCAAAGTGAAAAATCACATTGGCCTGTACAGAACAAAGAAAGAAATTTCATTTTATTCTTTATTTATTTATTTTTTGGTCTATATTTCAGCCATAAAATACTAAGATAGATTATTTTCTTTAAAAAATGTTTTTTCTAAAAAACATTCTTCAAATTTGAGATCTTATGACAAAATATAGAAAGAAACGCCTTAAAATATAATAAAGAATAAACTAAAGCGTGTGAAAATTTTGCTTACATTTAGAGATTTTTGCTTGATGCTATTATTAATGAAATAAAAAAAGAGGTTTTAATGTCTTGAAGCAAATGCATTTTATATCTTTTGGTAAAGTGTTAATGTAATTAATTAATATATTATTTTGTTATTTATAATTATTCGATATCACTTTATATTAATACAAAATCTTTGCAGATCGCTCGCGTGTTGCATTAGCACATCTCGTCAATCCAATACAATAACAACTGAAATATTAAATAATTCAAGGGGAGAGTACCTCCCGGTAGAACTTTTATGGGAAACTAACCGCTACTGACAGGCTAGAAAAGTAAAGAAAACAAGGAAATTCCACATGATCAGCTCATTAATGAGGCGTGAAACCACGACCAATGTGCAAGGTGCAATTCATTCCATCACTATAGACTTTTGTAAATAGTAATAAATAAATAAAATAATTTAATTTATCAATAATTTACGGGAAAAACAAAGACAACGGTTAATCGAGACGTTAGCCCGAAATTAACTGCTCATCACTCATACAAAACGGATTATATTCATCTGTTTATCTGTCTATACGTAAACTTCAAATAATTAATTAAAATTAATTTTATCACATTTCTCTTTATGGTATATTTATTAAAGATGTGAGTATTCAGTAATGTACTTAGAGTTTATGAGCGGAATAGAGTCATTTCCTCTCAACTTTGATGAGGACAATTACTGAATTTTGAGCTGAAATGCATAGGCCTACATTTCTCACAGCCTAAATAATCAATTGTAATTAACTACAGATCTTTAGTGTAAGTTTTATCTATGAGCTTCTGGGATAAGTAATCATAATCCTCGCCTCCCCAATCTTTACGTCGTGCCTCAAAGGAATGAGCTCTATCACTCCCCATGTTGGGGTTATGTTCAAATAAAATCTAATTTTGTATTAAAATGAATATAAACAACGAAAAAATAAATAAATTTATGAACATTTTAAAAAAAAAACTTAAATTTCATCCAATTTAATGTTAAGCTGAATTGCAATAAGTAGGTTAAACAATGTAAGTTTGCAGTGCCATCTCTAGTTGATATTCGAAAATATTTTTCTCATTCCTCAATAAAGAGATCTTATAAGTGTTATAAGCTATTTTGACTATGGGAATTCCTTTATTCCTCGGCAATACATATGTATTACATTAGTATTTATATGATTAGTATTTAAACTACTATCTCATCATCCCGTAACGCTGTGGCATATGGTATGTGTTACAGGAGATTTATCAAATATGGAACCTTTCTATAAAGAAAATAAACAAAATGTTTATAAGGTTCTGAAAAAATGTTCAATAGAAAATATCAGTTAGTTAGTTTTGACATATGTTATTTGATTTAGTAAATTTATACAGGTTAGAAAAATTGTATGTCATTTACTTATTCAAATCTACAAAAGAAAAGTAAGAATATTTGCCATTCATAATTAGGAATATCGTATTATTGTAATTGTATTATTACAGAGATAAGAACTGGGAAACGATACTTTCTTATAAATGTCCCATGAAATTATAAAAGTCACATGATAAAACTTAATTAAGAAAAACAAAGCTGGCAATAGCTTTTGTATGACTTTTCCAGCACACTAAAAGGCTTTAAGCCTTACTTTTGGTAGGGGTGTTTAAAACTTGTAAAGTCAATAATATTTGTTTTAATTACCTAAAAACTCATATGAGTTCATTTTCAACGTCTCACCACACTCTAGATACGAGCTTCTATTGCCTGTACCTCCCTCTTGACTTGCAATCTTCAGTGTGTAAAAGCACCAATGTCTCATAAATAGAAGTATTCCAGCCAAATTTTAAAATTATAAGTCAAAGGGGTTATGAAATATAACGCAAAATACAGATCAAAACACGAAACACGCACATCATATACAGAATTTTGTTATCTTCTTTTCAATGTCTCTAAAGGTAAAACATCTTCCGAACGTATTGTTGAAAATAGAACTTCACGCATTACTGCTGTAAAAACATGAAAGTCCTAACAGAAGAAATGTATGACTACATGAATAAATTTTCCGACATTAACATCTCAGCAAAAATAAAAAGCCGATAATTAACTACGTGCAAATAGAAAAGATATCAGCAGTTAAACCTCTTCATATAGAAACAAGTGTATGCAGCATTGCTGTATCTACAACCACTTCGTACCAACTTTTGTCAGTCTGCACGTCGTTTTCACCGGCATTTCTGATGTAAATGAGCCTTGCGTTCATTCAAATTTATTGACAAATTTAAATTTGGGAGAATATCGAGACATCAAAATAAAATTGAGACACGTATCATTTTACTGTGAAATATTATATATTACAATTAACAAAAAAAAACTATGATATAATTTTACATTTTAGTTACAACCCTCTGTGGATGTGAATGAAATTATACAGGCAGAACATCTGCACAAGAAAAAGTCTGAAATGAGCGAAACAAATTCGTCGAAAAGTGATTGTTTATCAAAATTTACTTCTGAATCTGTTCTTTTTAACAGTAGTTCCAACAAATGGCATTCCACGTATTCCTTCTCAAACGACAACTCAATTTATTTACAACTAGACGAGAAAAGTGAAAACAAATACATTGATAAATGTAATCTATATACTGTTTAATTAGAAGATGCTGTCAAAATTAGCGAATTACCAGTCAAGTTCCAAAATTTTTATTCTCTTAAATGTAAGTTTTAATGAGATCCACATCAAAATTTCTTAGACATCGCTTTTTATGGAAAAAATTTTGTTTCTTGATCGATGCAAATTGTGATTACCACAGCCCCTTCGGCCGCCAATTTAAAGCTTTTAGTCTTTAAAATTGGCGTTTCCACTTTCCGGGACGAGGACCCAGGGGTTGGATTTGTGGGAAGCGAGTGTTCGGGTTGTTTCATTGTGTCGAATTACAGAGAACCAGGCGCTTGACGTGTAAGTGCGTGAGTGCGAGAATTCGAGTAAAGATTAAACGGTGTATATACCTTCATGTACAATGATGTTATGTCCGTGTGTGTGTGTATATATTTGTGTGATGTCCAAGAACATCTTCGGCATGTCTAGAAACAGAAAAACAGTAAATTACGATACGAGAATAAGATGTGTGAAAAAATTAAACTAGAGTTCTTACTATCGGAAATTTCGGAAAATATTCACTTGTATGATGAATGGCCAAGTCATCCTCTTCGTGGTAAACTTGGGGAGGGAGATTCTCCCTCCCAAATGTTCCTACAAAACACAAAGACAGTGAGAAAGCGAGAAGTTCATTCATTTATTATCTAAGGTCAACATAACTACCTTTATCAGACAATCTTTTTTCCCGAACAGTGTCATGAGAAGAGCAAAGGACTTAACCTAGCCTAACCTAACCTAACCGAAAGCTCAATCCTCATAATGCCTGTTTAGGAAGAAAGGTCGGCCGAATGTCGCGTCCGGTGAAAAAAAACCCGATTGTGTCACGTCTGCGTCGTCACAATCGGGAGTCAAATCCGTCGTCGTCGACCGAGTGTCACGTTCGGCAGACAAGTCCGTGGGGTCGCATCCTGGTAAGAGACGGTCATGTCCGGGAAAAGGTGTCGAGTCCGGGTGAAAAGTGTCGAATCCGGTAAGAATGTCCCATCCGAGTGAAGAAGGACGAATTGGGAAAAATCGAAGAGGATCACCGCTTAGGCCAAAGGAACCGCAGCCACCCTCAGCAACAGAACCGCAGACACCACGGTCCCTCGACTCCGACGGCACTCTCCTCCGATTCCTCCCCGTTCGGACTTCCGGAAAGCGATGGCATCCCCGTCACGGACAAAGAGGCAGAACTCCCGACAAGAGGGAGCGATATCGTACTCCAAGAAGAAGACTCGGACGAGACATCACTCCCTACATCTTCCACAACAAGGCCTGTGGCCGACTGACCCCTGACGACCTTGGCCAAGTGGAATGGACTCAGAACTCTCCCGCCTCCGGGAGAGTGCCACACCACACGCACTCGGGGAAGGTCGTTACCACCCGCTGCCTCTCGCTCGACGGTCTCAAACGACGCCATACTAATCGATTCGGCAGAGACGCAGTCGAGCCCCGGGTCCTCGAACGTCTCGTCAGAGCCGTCCGAGGAACTCCCTTCCTCCGGCGCCACCGCGTTCCTCCGTCGGAATCTCCTCCGGAGCCACTCCATCTCCATTCTGTAAAAAAGAAAATTTGCAATTAGTTGAGTGAAAAGAAAAGCTTACATTTAACCTTATATTCTTCGGAGAAAAGAAAAATTCTCACCGCAGTTCCCTTTTTAATTAAATTTAAAAGATTCTAATCGAAAACGAAAACGGCCGATCATCGAACGATGGGCCGAGATGTCTTCTGGGACCGATTCTCTAAGTAATATTATATAAATTCTTACGTCTAGGGTCAATATGGACTAAGATTTACCTAAAAAATCTTTAATCTTCTTCCGAAAAGTCCGCAAACAGCAAAAAAAAGCACACAATTCACGAGCGAAAGAAAAGCACGTCCAACCGGAACTAGAAACACAATCGAACTGCGAATCGTCATGTGTGACGAATTTCGAACAAACGTTAAAAGACGCGTCAACAATGTTCGAATTACGTAAAAATTAATTAAAAACAATCAATTTTATTTATTTTTTTAATTAAATAATTTTTAATTTTTCTTTTTTAAAATTTTGCTTCAATCATTTTCTTGTGTTCGGAATTCGATAAATAAATTATCTTCTGCGTTTATATGATGCAGAATGTCCACCGTAGAGAGGTAAAAGACGATCTTTAATTCTACGTCTGGAGGCTTTACCATCTCCGAAAATTGCCTGATATTCGTTTGAATAAGTTCATAAATATCTTTTTCGTCCATTTTTGGCCATGGGGTGAAATAAATGAAATTCATAAGATTTCGATTTATTTTTCCCAGTATTATTTCGCTTTTCGGAAAGATTCCTCGGCCGCCGTTGGGATTGCACATTTCGCGCATTAATGCAACATCAAACTGGATAAAGTTTAAAAAATTGAAAAACCTTTATAATATTTATTTAAAAAAGATATTTATCGACTTATTCAAAAGAATTTCGGGCAATTTTCGAAGGATAATTCGTGGGTTGAAGCTTCTCTAATGAAAGTGGAGTTTTTTGCGTTTTCTTCACTTTTGTAATACCTAAATAGATGTCATTTTCCCATAGAAGTCCCTCGGAGGCACTCTCCTCGGTAGATCGCTCACGTGTCGCCGTTGCTATAACCAGATAAAACAACATCTGAGAAACTCCTGGGATATTTTGACTCGTCTGGAATCGTTTCTGAGTCTTCCAGAGCTGTAGACATCATAACCGCTCGACCATCGTACCGTCGTAAAGTTTAATTAATAGTAATAGTAAGTTTAGTCTCAAAAGTCTCAGTTGCTTTGCATTCCTGTTGACTTTGCATCTTTTTACACGGTCTGATGGTCGAACGGTTAAAGTGGCAGCCTTCCACTGTGGGAGACTTCGGGGTCGAAATACTCCAGGAATTTTTCGGGGATGGTCTTTCCCGTGTTTATCGGACCTCGTTCTTTATAAATTGGGCCTAGCCAAACTAATAATACACTTAATAACGATTTCCTAGTGCTTAAAGGGCGGAAAGAATCCATAAAAAGATGCTTTATATAATATTGTTTACTTTTTAATAACATAGTTTAAAATTAATTTAAATTTTGTTAATAAAATTATGGATAAAATATTCGTGTTAAATATAAAACTAAATTATTTTAATTATTTAAAATATTCTTTTAAAGTTTTGGCGAAATTTGGGCGCATTTCTCAAATGTTAAAATTCAAATAACAACTGGTTGATTAACACGTGATTCGCGACATGGAATATAACAAATTTTAAACACGTGTGAAATGGATGATTGACACGTTTTATTAGTTTACTCTTCAGATGAAACTGTCAGTTAAAATAGGATTTATAAAATGTATTGTGTTTTAGTAAATCGAAAGAATGTAATTAGTTGTATCGATAAAATCCCTTTATTTCTCAAGTTTTATAACTTTCACATTAAAATCAGATTTATCCATAAAGCATGTCCACCTTGGAAAGTAGCTTTTTATGGAAGTGACAGTTTCTCGTTGGAAACTTTGAAAGTTCTGAATGGAAACAGGTATTCATTCTCGGTGGCGTACTCAGGATTTATTATTGGGGGAACCGAGTTAAACGTATAAAAAGATTTTTAATGCGAAATTCAATAAAATTCCCACCTCACTTGACTGCTAATTCATAAGTAGTGTGGAAATAGAAGACGACACAATATAAATTCTAAGTTTGTAAGTCTCATTTCTCTTTTTGGAGAGTGTCAGGACCCCTTCTGAGTGTGAAACTGTTCATTCTTAGTTATTTTATAATTTATTCTTTAATATTACATGTTAATTCTTAAATTTTAATCATTTTCTTTTTACACTATTTTTAAAAATTAATGGTGAAAAGCTTTTCTATGCTTCTTTTTTAATTGTCATTAGTCATTATTTCCATTTTAAATGTAATAGGTCAATAAAGATTTAAAATTTTTAAAAATAGAATTTAAAAAAAGGTATTTAAATTGAAATTAAGATCTGTATAAAATTTTAAGAAAGTAGAAAGAAGATTTTAAATTCCAAATTCATACTGCTTTAGTCCAATCATAGGATAAGTATTTTGATAGTTAAGTAAATTAAACTAGGGTGACCAGATGTCCCTGATTTCCATGACCTGTCCCCAGTTTTGTTTGCTTTTAATGAGTGATTTCAGAATCACCTTTGAATACAGCTATTTTATTAACACATCAATATAATACCAGTTTATAGATCAATAAATAAATAAATTTTAAAAAATACCAAAGTTCAATCAGTTTTAAACCCCATTTTCACTGATTCTCAAATGTGTTCCTGGTTGAATTGTAATTGTTATGGTCAGCCTAATTAAACTGTTTTGTAGAGGAAAAATAATAGTTGAATATTTCCACTAAAAGTAACCTAGGTTTGTGTCAATACTAACCTAGGTTACTATAGGTCTGATGGATCATTGAGAAATATAGAAGAATCATTGCTTCTTTTGATATCAAAATTATGCTATTTTAACTTAAATGATTGCACAACATTTAGCATATCGTTATACGTTTTTTTAATCCCTTAATTGTGTCTACTAGTTCTGCATCTAACATTGAACTTTAAAGTTGATTTAATAGAATAATATGATTGTGGCATTTTTTTAAATGTGAATTTTATGATGTGAGATTGAGACTTTTTTACAATGGGAATTGTGGATAGAACACTTACAAATTATAAAATATGAATTCTGTTTATTGATATATTTAATACTCATTTGTAAATGATACTTATTTTGATATTTATTCAATAAATAATCCATTAATTTGAATAATTTTTTTATCTTTGTTAGATTGGGAGCAAACAAACCACATGTTGTAGAAAGTTTAGATGTGATTTGCCCCTTGGTAGGTATTTATCATAATTTTTATTTAATATTTTCTTTTAATAATATTTTGATGTTTAATTTAGGGAAAGAATATTATAAACAAATATGCCACTGAAGCCAAGCTAAATATAAAATATTGGCCTTACGTATTGCCAGAAGGAGTTTATCATGTTGGAGTAGTAGTATCATTTGGACATTTAATTCAGACCAAATCAATTAATGCATGTACTTAGTAAGTAAGCATATATTTGTATAATATTTAATTTTACAAAATTAAATATTTATTTTGAATAATAGTTTTATCATCACTTTTGACAGTGGTGCAGTCAGGGAATACAAGAGTGCAATTGCACCTCTTATTACTAATATTCATTTTTTTTTTCTTAGTAATTGAAATTTGTATGTGTAAGTGTAAAAGTAAACCTAAGCAAGTCACCTTATAAGTATAAATTTAAACCACATAACTTGCAGTTTTTGAATATTTAGTAAGAATAAAATATTTTTTTCCTTTCATGAAACTAATAACTTAAACCTTATACTTTTGTATTACAATTTTATTCAAACAACATTTGTTACTGCTAAATATTTTCAGTGTCAACCCCTTGCTAAAATTTTGGCTGTGCTACTGACATTTGAAGTGATAATTTTATGTTTTGTTATGAATCTATTAGCTAAATCTATAGAATGTCTAAATTAATATTTTCTTAAAGCTTTTGTTTATATCAGAGGTTCTTAACCTTTGTTGTTCAGCCAGGTGGAGGTTATGGATCCCTTCTCAGAATAATATTTTTAAATGCATAAAATAAAATTACAAAAGAAATCAGTCACATAGAAATACATTTATGAAAATAAAAAACATATGACATAGCAATACAAGTGCTTTTTTCTTAACCTAATAATTAACAATTCCATACATTAAAATACAGGAAAGTTAAAGTTGATTTTTTACCCTTTCAAGCCCATGAATCCTTGGTAAACAACCACTGATTTATACAAAAACTTTGAAATATTTAATAGTTCTGTCTATGTTTAAATCTATAATACAATACAATAAAATACAATTAAAACTTCAATAAAGAATTTTAACAATTTCTTTGATATAACAAATTCATATCAATATGTAACCAGTTCAAACACTGTTATTCTCTAGGAATTATCATATCCACAGACTCCAAAAATACTATACTATCAACAACTTTATTTTACCCCATAATATTTAATATGGGTAAAATAAAGTTGTTGATTGGATAGTATTTTTGGAGTCTGTGGATATGATAATTCCTAGAGAATAAGTGTTTGAACTGGTTACATATTGATATTTGAAAAACAGAATAGAAACACAAAGATAAATTATACTAAATTCAAATATGTCTTGTTGAGAATTTTTATACAAAGTTTTATCCTAGTTAAGACATATATTTTATAATTTATTTAAATTAAAATTGACATAAATATAGTATATATTTAAAAACAATTTTGTGATTGCTCTATAAGTTTTTCTGGTATTGATATGTGCATACATTTTAAATAATAAAACTTTTATAGCTTATAATAAATTCTGTGAAGTACATTCAGCACATAGAGCTTATTTTAAATGTGGAACTTCACTGTAGAAAAGATTTTTAATAATGCTTATTTATTATGTGTTTATATCAAATTTCTTTGGATCTCTCTTCAACTGTAGATTAAAATATATATATATTTATTAAATGGCAGAGGTAAGGATGTTCTGGAAGAATCTAGAGGAATTTCAAATGTATATTTCTTAACATTTTGGAGCATTTTATAAAACTTCAAAAAGTCCCATATTTCAGGATAACCTTTACATAAATTTTTTGATTTAATTATTATAAATTTTATTGAGTACATCACATTAGCTACAAGAAACTACTGTAGTTTATGTAATTAAAAAAATTTATATTACTTTATAATACAAGAAAAAGAAGTAATTTGCTTGATATTTTATTTATATTAAAGATAATATTTAAGACTATTTGTATATAATTATTATATTAGAAATAAGAAAATAAGCCATTAGAGTCATAATCTTTATAGGTTATGTTAATGTTTACATAACCTATAAACATTATGACTCTAATGGCTTACCTAAATACATACATATTGTCACACCCATTTCTCAGAAGGTGTGTGACAATATGTATGTATATATATATATAAGCAGACAAGAGTATACTGATCCTAAATGGATGAGTATACTCTTTTATTGTATTGTATTATAGTTTTAAACATAGATAGAACTATTAAATGTTTCAAAGTTTTTGTATAAATCAGTGGTGGTTAACCAATTGCAGGAATCTGATAAATTCAGATTCCTGCAGCACTCTTCCTCTCTGCATATCTCTTTTACTTCTGCCATGCCATCTTTCTTATAATACACTTCCTTTGCATCTTTTATACTCATTATATTTTGTACCTTCAAATAACTCATCCACTTGACCAAGCAGTTTCCTTAGTTGCCTCTTGTTTGCTTCTTTTCACTCTTCAATATGTAACCAGTACTGTTTCCGATATATTCTGTTTAGTAATTTATGTTGATATGTTATTGAGTATAAAATAATACATATAAATCTTAGCTCTGATTGGTCAAACTTAAAACACCTAGAAAGATTGGAAATTTTCAAGGTATCATTTAAAGACATGGCAATTAATTATAGGGAGGCAGAAACATTCTCCTATGCATGATCTTTATTTTATCATCCCATAAACCTAGTTTGATATAATCAGTCACATGTAAGAGAACCAATAATATCATGCTACATTTGGATTTTTTAAACTCCATGCTATATTCAAACATTGTTTCAAACTCTGTTATACCTTCTAAATTACTTTTCAACCTGAAGATGACCACTTAAGTTTGTCAAAAATGTTCATTTTTATTTAATTAATCTTATACTGCTGGATTTTCTGGTTTGGCAAGTGTTTTTAATATTAATATTAAGTCAATTCTCAGTCATTATTACAGGTATACAGTAAGATGAAAATAGTGATTCTTTTCATTATGTTGTTATGCAAAGCTGAATGCTGTTTACATTTCAGAAAATAATTATATATGTTATCATTTCTCTTAATTGTATCGCTTGTAGCCCGTAAGAAATCACACATTTTTAGTAATTAGAAAACATTTTCATTTACAACTACTTTATAAAACTTATAATCAACAGGATTGTAACCAGAAATTTCTGAGTATGGATCACCTGCATATCACCTAGATTGCATAGACTTAGCATCAGTATGTAGGCTACTTTAAAAATGCATTAGCCCACAATTACTTGAAACATATTATTGTGCAATGAGGTGCTATATTGATATGGCAGGTTCTTGCATATGCAAATCAGTGATACATATGACAATGATCAATAAAAAAAAAAGGCAGAATTTTATTCTTGTTTGTTTCATGGCTGTTGGCCTACCCATTCAGCAGATATGTCACCTACTGAACATCGTTATCAAGAACATTTGCAGGATAAGGTCAACTGATCCATCAAGTCCTCCAGTAGTCAGTACCAATGAACTATGGATGTGCTTACAAGCTATCTGACAAGAAATTCTGGGGACACCATTACACCATCAAAAGCCTTTTCATTTTCAATTCATTGCCACAACATGTAGCAGCTCTTATTGTAGCTCATGGAGGCTTTACAAGATACTGATTTTATGAAGTCATAAATGCTGAATTGTTATAAAAATTTAATCACCTATGTGCAGTCATAGTGTGTGACCAAAATTTTATTCTAATTGGATAATTCCTTCAGTGTTGCAATTTTCACAAATGGCATAGATCACTCTAATATGTGAGTAAATCACCAAACGATCGCCTTAATATCAGGCTATAATATGGCTAATTAAATGATTTGTATAAAGTAATTTGACAATAGAGATAGACGTTATGCACCATCTCTTAAGTAAATTAATAATTATAGCCCGATATTCAGGCGATCATTTGGTGATTTATTCTATATTTCTCGGGCTTTGAGTTGTTATTATCTAATATGTGAGTTTGATGTTCTTGTTTTTGTTTCATCCAGTGCTCAACTACTACTAGCATGTTTTTTAATGCTGTTTATTTTTAATTCCAGTGGCGGTAGCATTGGGGGCTGGCTGGCAGAGACAGAGAGTGACTGGGCATTAATTAATGTGGGAAACAGTCCACGCTGCCTTATGTTGCTACATCCATGAATTGAAATACAGTAGAGCGTCATTTATCCGAATCAATTGGGCACTGGGGTGGTTCGGATAACTTATTTTTCAGATAACAAATCATGTACAAAAAAATATATTAATTTATCCCATGTTGAAATTTTCTCCGTTGCGTGTTGCTTTGCGTTGAATTTTCGTCGATGTTAAGCCTAACGAAGACTATTGTATCGTTAAAAATTATTTTTTATTTTGTACAAACAAAATAAATATATTGAAAAATAGAAAAACAATAAAAAATTATACTTCAGATATTAATTTAGTATCAAAAACATAAAATATTTGAGTAGCCCAAGAAATAGCCGAAGATTGCAGCGCCACAGCACTAGCAAAAATTTAAATTTGTCGACTGGAATGCTTTCGGATAACAGACGTTTCGGATAACCAGCTTTCGGATAAACGACGCTCTACTGTATATCTCTAAATGTTGCAATCCATAAAACACTACTTTATTAAAGAACTCAGATAAAACATTACAAAACAACTTTCACTAATAATGTAAGAAAGCTTTCCTTCAGCACTTGCATTGATGGTTTTTATTCTGCTGACAACAGGTGCCATCCTGAATAAAATCCATCATTTCCTACATAGAGAAAAACTGATATTTTCTTTGCAGATTTGACATAAGCTGATACAATCTTTTGTTGATAATATGAACCATCAACTGTAGTCTTCTCCTGGCAATGACTAAATCAGCTAATGCATCCTGCCACCTTAAAGCCAAATTTTAGTTTGCTAAGAGAAGAGATGTCTGAGTCACTCTTGGGTTGTAGGCATACCTACTCCACTTCTTTGTTTTTAGACATCTTGAAACAGTCATATAGCTGACCTTATTTCATGTTGACTATAATAATCAGAAAAATTTGCTTATTTTGTCTACAGATCTGGGTTTTTTTCCCTCTATCAGGCCAATGGTTCTACATGTATAAAATTAAAAGTGCTATTATATACAGGGTGTTTCGAAACTCATGGACAGAAATTTAAGGGATGATAAAAAATATCTAAACAAGCAATTTTCACTATACAATGCATGGGCGGAGAGCAAGCGTTGAACTGCTAGGAGGTATCAGTTACTGTCACATGAAAGAATGAAACACCAAATAGATAGAGGAGGTTCTAAATAATTTTACTAAATCTCTTTACAGAATGTCCTCTACAACTTGTGGCATCTACACACACCTGCCACGCCCTGTATCATGCATGCTGGTGACAAAGGATCCCGTTTCGCGCAGGCAACGATGCAATCATTCACACATTTTTTGACCTGGCACATGTCTTCTCTGGAAACGCTACCTGTACAGTCTTTCAGCTTCCAGAGCATTCCCGTTCACAACACCATACATAAAATGCATGTCCACCTTTTCCTGATTACTGTACGTCGCCATACTTCTGAAATCCACGATAGAAATGACAATATGTAAGAAAACTCATGTTTTAAGCTTCCCATTACATTGCCGTCTAGCGGTTCACCACTTGCTCTCCGCTCATGCATTGTATAGTGAAAATTGCTTGTTTAGATTTTTTTTCTATCACCCCTTAAATTTTTGCCCATGAGTTTCAAAACACCCTGTATATATTTATAAAACATAAGAAATTGATTTCTCTTAGAATATAAAATAAAAGAAATCTTACTGATTGATTTTAGTTAATATGAAGTTATTACAATTCCTTCATTTGGTATTATATTTTTTTGAAATTGTTAACCAAAAAATTAAAATACACATTAATATTTTAAGTGGAATAATAAATGCACACCCTAGTCTGTTGCCAAGATGGAGAGGAGCAGCACCTATAGTCCACACAATTTTGAATGGAGATGAGATGACAGGAATTACCATTTTGCAAGTTTCACCAAATAAGTAAGTTATTTTTATATTTCAAAATAGTCACTTGATATTTAGATGTAGTACAAAACAAATTAATAGTTTTATTTAAACTTTTTTATTAATTGATAATACTTGAATCTTTATAGATTTGATAGAGGGAAGATTTTACTTCAAGAAATATTTCCAGTCGTTCCCAATTCTACTTCAAGTAGTTTACATTCAGAACTCAGCAGGAAAGCTGCAGAAATGGTATTACTTTTAAATGTCATTCATAAACAGAAAGAAAATTACTATTGTACTATTGTTACTATTGTATTTTATTAATAATGTACTATTAATAAAACAATCTCTTGCAGGTGATTCAAGCTCTCTGTGATCTACCAGATTTATTAAGAGATTCAAAACCTCAGCAAGAAAATGGAAACACACATGGTAATTTATAAAGAAAGCTATTAAAATGTTTTATACTTACATTTTATTTGTTGACTTATTTATGAATGTTTTCAGCTTTTAAGATACATGATTCAATGGGTAATTTGAATTGGGACCAAATGACTTGTCAGGATATCAGTAGGCATTATCATGCCCTAAGTGATTTTGTAAGTATATCAGGAAAAATATATATGTTTTTAAATTAAGAATAAAATGATTTGGAATGTAATTTCAGATTGCATTGGTTTCAAAATGGAAAGGTAATACCATAAAATTTAAAGAATTTGTTGATGTAAATCTGGAGCAGTCCATTCATCAAAATGTCTCTCCTGGATTTTGTTATTTTGATAAAAATTTGAAAGTTCTTGCCATCAAATGCAAGGTAAAATATTATATTTTACATGCTCATATCTATAATTTCTATACTTTCATGTATATGATGTTTCTAGGATGGTTGGGTAGGATTTAAATCCATTCAACTGTTTGGAAAAAAAACAATGAGTGCTTCAGACTTTCATAATGGATTTCTATCAAAAATAGAAGAAAAATACTGGTATTTAGGATGATGTTATACTTATTTTCATTAGATATTGTACATATTTCTTCTTCATGTATATAAAAAGTTATTTACTTACAATTTGGTGATTTTGTTTCTTTACATTAATAATTACAGTTAAAAAGTCTTTTATCAGTTTTGCATGAAACATTTTTAGGTATGACAGAAACAAATTATTAATTTGTTAATTAATCATTTAATTCTAATAATACTCGTAATAGCAAGTATGTAAGGTTAGCTATATTATTTAAGTAGATACTTAAATTTTTTTATATGCATCATCATAAAATTATATAAAAATTGGCCAAACCTTTCACAATAGGAGCCATAAACTGCCTATCTGAAATGCATGATAACCGCATTCTCTATTGGAATGTCTATTGAGAGTTGCATTATCTATTTTTAGTATTTTAAGCATATATATAATATAGTTATCACTGTTCTATAGTAAATATCACTACTTTAATTTACTATTACTTTATGACTGACTAGGTAAACAATCATTTAATTCCTTAGATTTTATAAATGTACCCTAAGCTTTTGGTTGCCTGTTTGAGGTTAAGTTGCAAGTTACACTTACATCTCTGTATTTCTGCAAAATAGCAGGAAACTTACAAAACTATTGATATATGCATAAATAGTATGTACCAAGTTTATAAAAAGAAATTGAATATGTTTGCAAGCTCACAAACCATAGTTTGGTCACTATAATTATATAGAATCAAATTATCATCATTATAACCATAATGCCTATTGTAACATATCTTCAGAATAGCTATGTTAGGCTTCTGTCATTTCTTTATTTGGTGAAGAATAACAAAAATATTATCTTTTAAGGACTTCTAATCAGACAGATTAGAATAGCCTATATACTGCATTTAAAGTATTTTAAGAGTTTTACCAAAAAAATTATATAATAGCTCTTTTACTTTTTCTATTATAATGTACTAATTTTGTAATATGAAATAATCTAAAATATATTTAATTTCAAATATTTAGCATTTTCTCTTTACTAATAAAAGTGAAATGACAGATGTGTCAGTCATCATCTAGTAAGATGCTAGTCTTATTGTTAGATGATATACCCACAATCTACAATTCATAATAAAAAATATAATGTTTTTCAACCAAAATAATTGCACCATACTTTAAGTTTTTAATTTCCTTTAAAAATGTTACTAATGCCATTTCTTAATTAACCATTAACAGCAAACTGGTGATATCCATTTACTATGTCATTAATTTGAGCTTATAACCACGCATTGAGCATGACATCTATGATGTTTCAAATACTGTTTTCCAGGTAAAAACTATTAGTTATTACTTTGCCTTCTTGTGCTACTATTTCATTTTATTGATCTGTGCAGGCTAATAAACAGTCCATCCATTTTCAATTGATATAGAAAAAAAAATGGATTACTGAATTGGAAAATCTTATTTGTAACTGATATGGAAATGTAAGAGTTTGCTCTTCCATTATATTAAATTTAGATTGCTAAACTTTTATGCGGTTGTAGCTTTAACTTAAAAGAAAATATGCCAAGAATTTTGAGTACTGAGAGTTGTAGAGTATCATAGGACGCAGTAACAAATTAATTTCTTTACAGTACAGTTCAAATGTTATCAGTGATATCTTTCTTTATGGGAACACTACATTGTTAATATTAGAAAAATTGCATCTGGCAGTTTTCTTTAATAATGGGTTTGAGTATGATTAGTTGTATTATTGAAAGACACAGGAATGGTAAATTGGTTGAATGGGATCAAATTGGCAAAAGTTAGTACAAATTTCATTTCTTAATGTTTGCAATACATTTCATACAATACTGTATATGAACGGATTCTATTGATATTTTGTTAGATATATAATAGCTATTCAAATGTACAATATTCTTCCATAAACAGTAAATAATAGACATACTTTTCAGAACTGAAATTTTCTCTGTGGTAATGAATTATGCTTTTCTATTTCCCCATAACTTTGTGATAACTTTGTGAAATAATATTTTAGAAATGTCTACTTACAGAACTGGAATTTAATGAATTGTTGAAAAGTTTTGTAACTCTTTGTTGGATTTTTTAAAATTAATTATCTTATATTAGTGTTATCTATATATATAAAAATGAATGTGTGTGTGTGTGTCTGCCCTTCATGCATTACCACACCGTTTATCCGATTGCCATGAAACTTTGGGAAGTTGTTTAATATACTTTCGCGAAGGTTTCTGGCATAGTACGATTGCCATTAAGCTTCGGGAAGTTTTTTAACGCAAAGGTTTCTGGCATAGTACATTTATCCTACAATAGATGGCGCGCGTTTATACTGTGTGTTCGATCGATTTCAAATTGTGAAGACCATTTCCCCCCTTCAAAAAATATCTGTATATATGCATTTGTGAACTGTTATTTACAATATTTGTAATAATTTTTGTTCAATCACTTTATTTCAACNTATGTCCACCCTGAGGTTCCATTCTAAATATTGGTGAAAGAATTTTTGAAATCGGATGAGTAGTTTTGGAGATTACCTGCTGCATACAAACTAACATACAAACATTACCTCTTTATTATATTAGTATAGATATACATCAAATTATCCAAAATTTGATTACGATTACGAATTTAATGTAAGCGAAACAGCTTTCTTGCCGATTTCCTCGCCTTTCTTGCCAACTATCTTGTTTCTCCATTTTGTTGTTGAACATTATTACATCATTTTCAGTCTACAATTGACGTTAAAATGTGCAATTTTTTCTGTTATGGCAACTCTGTGCCTGACATTTTCACATTCCACTTGCTAGAAATCCACCGATTCTAAATTCACGTGCCTCTTCGTAAAAATCGATGATCTTTCTCTTTCTTTCTTCTTCGATGGTGTTTATATGGAGATTTTAGCTTAATGTAGGCTCTTTCTCCGAGTAGACTTGTGTATGTGTATGATCGCTAGGCGACCGATTAGCCGGCTGTATCGAACAGCCATACGTACGGGCGGGAAATAAATGCCTTCCGGGAGGACTTTTATGGGGAACTGGCCTCCTATTCAGTCGTTATAGACAAGGAGAAAACCCGGAAAACTCCAAGCAGCCAGCCTGTCCGACCGTGGCGCGAACCCACGACGAACCTCCCAGTCTTTAGGGTCTGGAAAATCGATGATTTCAGGCTGGTCTCTTTAAAAACAGACGAACTAAAGCCGAATCGACAATCGTGTTATAAAAAATTCAAAAAATAAAACTGAAATAACTAAANTCGATGATTTCAGGCTGGTCTCTTTAAAAACAGACGAACTAAAGCCGAATCGACAATCGTGTTATAAAAAATTCAAAAAATAAAACTGAAATAACTAAAAACGCTATAAAAACCCCTTTAAAAATACACTTGCTAACGCAACTCGCTAATTTCGAAAGATGAGAACAATTCGCATTTTTCACCAGATGCTCGCCCTCTGGTGTTTAAAAACAAAACTATTCTATCTGGGTCGTTTGATTCATTCTTGTGTATTTTCAGCAGTAAAGATGAAAAGCGATAGAAAAAGCAACGCTTACTGTTGGTTCCAAATTGCAATTTCAAACCCTTACGAAAGCTTTACGATGATATAAGTTTTCGTCTATTCCCACACGAAAAACGGGAAAAACAGATGATTATTCGGAAATTGATCGGTTATTTTTATGAACTCTGAATTCTGAAAGAGTGGATTAACATGTCTGAATGTCTGACAACAGGGAAATTAACATGACTGTTAAGAATTGGCAGTTTCCCGATTGTCCAGCTTTCACGAACAAGTTATGCTGTCAATTTTAAAACATTTTGTTAAAGTTTAAAATGCCGGTAATTTTGTGTAGGACACGGGGCCGGATTTAAGCATTTCGAAGCCCTAAACTAAGCTCTGTAAGGCCCGTTACCAACCCTTCACAATTTTAGAAGTCAATCATAAAAAGAAAAGAATTAAATCAGACTATGACTCTGATTTATTACGGATATTGGAAGAAAAAGACGTGAGGTTTTACTAGTCTTCTATTTTATAACTAAGTTTAATTAAATTTTTATACCCATTCCATTAAAAATCTTTTTTTT